TGCTGAAGGCAGAATCAACCCCCTCCTCCTTTCTACCCTTTTTTCATTCTGCTTGACTCTGGTCTTCCTGGCCTTACAACCATGGTGCCAAAGGAGTGAAAAGAGATCCATTAAGGGAGGGAATTTTGATGAGACCCATTAAAGAACACATTTTTAATGACTTGGCTCTTTTCACAAGCATTCATCCCCAGGACGAAGCATCCTCCTTGGTCTCCAGGGAGGAGGTGAACGTTTGATTTAGTTCCCAAGTCACCATATATGTTGGTTTTGAGTCTTCAGTTGGCCCTTCAGAGAAGGTACACAGTCTAACTACATTCCTCGCCCCCCTCCCCAAGTTGTGAAAACGTTGAAGGGTATATCTATCTGAAACAGTTTTTGGAACAAAGTGGGATGTTAAATGGCAATAAATGGTATTTAATATATATAAAAAATGATGAAACATAAATTTTGGAAAGTTTTTGTACATTGTACAGACATAACTTACTATATATCATCATCATTAAGATAAAGTTATTAGAGAAGTGGATGATAAATACTGAAAAGTCATAGAATCTTAGTATAAAATATTGTCTTTAGAAAATTTCAAATATGTGTTTATCTCTGGATTACAAACAGCATTCCTACATAACGTGTAAGCCTACATATTACAAGTATATAGGCTTGCTATATAATACATCACAATAACACAAAATTTTAAATTTATCTATTATTATTTATTTCCATATTTTACAGGAAAGGTGACCTTTGCATCCTAAGGGTCTGGACATATTATTTGGTAAAGATCAGCATAGCCAAAGCCCATCAGACTGGTACTTCAAATTTGGGTACAAATACATTTACAGATTTTTTGTAAGCAGGAATGTAGGAAATTAAAGGATATCATAGCTTTTATTCTGGTTGTGGGTTCTTCATTTAATTAAGGTTATTTAGATATAATTTTTATACATACAACATAATGCACACCTTGTAAGTATTCAATGTTTACATATATTATATATATAAAAGTTTATGTATATTTAATATATAAAATCTCCATTCACTCGGAAACCATATGGCCTGGGCTTTTCTTTGTTGGGAGATTTTTGGTTACTGATTCAATCTCTTTATTCATCATTGGTCTGTTCAGATTTCCTATTTCTTCATAATTCAGTCTTGGCAGGTTGTATATTTCCAGGAATATATCCATTTCACTAGGTTGCCCAATTTGTTGGGGTATATTTGTTTATACTAGACCTTTACTGTAGGGTTTTGTGTTCATATAGTTAGGAGTTGGGCTGGCTTTGAAGTTTATTGCTTTAGTTAGCTTTGGTGCACCATAGCCCCAAATTCCTTTCATCATGCCTTGTGTTTAGGGTATTGGCTAATTTGCCAGAGGGTTTTTGTTTTGTTTTGTTTTTCTCAATGACTATTCCCCACTGGACTTTGAGTTTTCCTTCTGTACTATTCCCCAAAGAGACTCTATCTCTTGTAACAACCTCAACTATAGGTTACTTTCACTCAATGGTTATTAGTGTGGTGGTGGAGCATGGAGGAAGGGGGCATTCTCTGATGATCTGATGAAGCCTCAGTATGAGGCAAGCATTGTGGACTTGGGTCTTGAGGGTGTGATGTTTATAAGAACCCTGCCCCTTTATTATCTGTAGTTCTGGGCCTAGCACTGACTTCTGCCACTGTCCCAGGCACAGTTTAATTTTTTTTCTTCCCATCCTCAGCAACAGTGGATTTTCGCCAGTGCCCTGAATTGACAATTTTTATTATTCTTCTCCCTGCAGGTTAAGGCTTATGTTCCATAGGGGAGATAGAAGATGAATCTGGGTAGAGTTTCAGCATTGGCTATTACTCCCTTATCCAAGTCAGTTCATTGAGAGTTCTTAGAAGTCTCTCTTACCTTCTCTGTGGTGCCAGGTGGTGTACATGGAGGAAAAGACTGCAAATCTTACCAAGGTGCAAATCCCCTTATGTCTGTGACCCAGGGCTTCACATTCACATGGAGACTTTAGTAATTTATTAAAATGTTTAAGCTGAATCTTTTTACTCACTTACATGGCACATGGTGCTATCTGCTCTTGGTAAGCAAGTGTTTGGTTCCTGTTTCTCCTTGCAGGCCAATTGGTCTGTCCTCAGAGTTAGGGTTATTTCTTTGTCCTGCCATGTCAATTCTCTAATGGGTTCAAGAAAGGTTATTCATTTTCCATTTGGTCAGTTTTTTCCACCCTTTTATAAGGGTGGGAGCAATGCTTTCTCCAGTTCCCTACATCTCTTAGCTGAAACCGAAGGCCCATATACAGGGTTTTAATGCTAAACTAAACCTGCATTCCTAGGAATAAAGCCATTTGGTCATAATGGTTATTCATTTTATATTTTGTTGAATTCACATTACTAATATTTTTAAGGGAGCTTTTCAACATTTATGTTCATGAGGGATATTGTTTAGTAAATTTCTTTCCTTCAATTTCTTTGTCATATTTTTGTGTCTGAAATAGTCTAGTCTTTTAAAATGAGTTGGGAGTTGTTTTCTCATAGTTTTGTTTCTGAAAGAGTTTGTGCAAATTTTGCATCATTCCTTACTTTAGAGTTTGATGGAACTCACTAGTGAAACCATCTGGACCTCAATATACCTCTGTGGAGAGATTTTTTATTTTTTAATTAGAAATCTGGTTTCTTTAATAGACATAGGACAAGTCAATATTCCTATTTCTTTTTAAATCAGTTCTAGGTGTTTGTCAAATAATGTCTACTTCTAACTAATTAAATTTGTCATCACATTATGTTATTACTCTTATAATGAATATAAAATCTGCAGTAAGATTGCTATCTTTTTTTAACCCCACTGTTTGCAATATCAGTTTTTTTCATCTTTATTTCTTTATTAGCTCTACCAAGGAATTATTAATTTTGTGATATTTTATTATCACATTAATATAGCCATGCCTGCCTTATTTTACTTATGGTTTTCGTGATATATCTTTTACCATCCTTTTAGTTTCAACCTTTTCTGTGTCTTTATATCTAATATATATCTCATGTAGTAGCATACAGTTGGCGCTTGAATTTTTTAAATTCATTCTGATAATCTTAACCTTTTCATTTGAGCATTTAGATCATTTGCATTAAATGTAATAATAGTTGTCACTGGGTTTTATTATATTTTTAGTAATTATTAAGGGATAATAATACATCACAAACTTAGAAATGTCCATTTCATCAATAGTATACCACTTAATACCTCTATACTTAATACCTCACACTTCCACTTCTGACTTTCCAATTCACACTTTACATCTAATTCTTCACATTTCAGTTTATAAATATAGTATACCTGCAACAGGATAACTCTATTTACTCTCCAACCTTTGTGTTAATGTTGCCATATTTTTACTTCTATGTACTAAATAAACCTTACCTTACAATACAATTATATTCATTTTAAACCATCAGTTTTGATTTAGGATATTATAACATATAATTTATAAAATATAAAAGTAAATTTATATTTATCCACATATTTACTATTTTTGGTGGCCTTCAGTCTTTCCTGTAGACCCAAATTTCCATGTAATATCATTTCCCTTCTGCCTTAAGAATAGCCATTATTATTTTTTTATATAATTCAGTTATACCAGAATAAATTTGTTCAGATTTCATTTATCTGAAAATGTCTTTCTTTACAATCACTTTTGAAGGATATTTTTTCTTAATATTGAATTCTTAATTGACGAGATTTTTTTATATTTTGTTTTTACCATTTTAAAAACTTCGTTCCATTGTCTTCTGTCTTCTGGACTTGATTGTTTCAGAGGAGAAGTAAGGCATATTTCATGTTGATTTTTCCCCTTATATGTAAATTAATTTTTTTTAAATTTAGCTTATTTCTGTATATTTGGTTTTTAGAATTTTGGCTATGTTGGGCTTAGTGTGTGTTACTTTGCATTTATCTTGCTTATGCTTCAGTGAGCTTCTTAGATGTATAAATTGATATTTCCCATCATATTTGGGAACATTCGAGTCATTTTTTCTTAAAATGTTATCATTCTCTTTTCCTCTGGGACCCAAACTATATACAAATTAGATATTTTTATATTGTGCCACAGATTTTTAAGGATCTTTCTTTTTCTTACACCTGTTTCTCTTTTCCATTCTTCAGACTGGATAATTTCTATCAACCTGTCTTCAATCTACTGATTATTCTTTTATTTAAATCTGCTATTAATTCCATCTGACAAATTTTTAAAATCTAAGTTATTGTAGTCCTTTGTTCAAGAATTTCTTCTTTTTTCTTTCTTTTTTTTCCATTTCTTTGCTGAGATTCCCTAACAATTCATTATTAAGACAATATTTGTCTTTAAATTCCTGAACATATTTATTTTATATGCTTTAATGTTTTATATACTAACTCCAATGTTTATATCTGCTTTTTACTTGACTAATGGTCACATTTTTCTGTGGGTTTTTTTTCATATCTAGTAATTTTTATTGTGTTTTTAAGAGCATGGATGATACATCTCAGAGTCTAAGCATTCTGTTATCTTCCATCTAGAAGGTGTTGATTCTTACTCTAGTAGGCAATTCAAGTCATAACTAATCAGGTCGAACTTGGTTTCATTTTAGACTTTTTTAGGGTATGTCTGGGGTAGGCCTGATTCTGGGGCATGGCACTTCTAAAATGAGTGGCTTTTCTGGTATGCCAGCTGGCTGCCAAAGTGTTGGCAAGGTTGGAACTTTTGCTGAAAAACCTACTCTAGCCGGGCTAGAACTCCAACATCTATTAGCACTGCTCAAATTCAAGTAACTCAGTTCCACTTTTTACTCCATTGCTGATCTCATAAGCCATTTATTGTCTCACCTTGTGCGTGCTCAGCCAAATTCTAAGCCAAAAACTTGTGGGGAAACCACATGAAGACTTCTGGGTTCAATTTTATTGTACAGCTGTCCTTTCCAATGATCTGCCTCATAGATTTGTTTTAAATGTCTTAAATTTGATTTCTACTATCTCTGCTCAGGAATATCATCACGCTTTGGGTGAACTCCAGCTCCCTATGGCACAGTCAGGAAATTTTCCCTAGGCAGAGAGCTCACGTGATTGTAAGTTTATCTTCTCTCAGTGATAACAGGTTTGTGCTTTTTTTCAATGTTTGAAGTAATTGCCTCATAACCCAAATAAGCCTACTACCCATCTGATACCATAAATAGTAACTACAATATTATTGACTACATTCTGTATGCTATACTTTACACCCCCATGACTATTTTGTAACTACCCATTTGTAGTTCTTAATCCCTTCCCCTTTTCACCCATTCCTCCAACGCTTTCCCATCTTATAACCAAAATGTTCTCTGTATCTATGAGTTTGTTACTTGTTTTGTTTGTATATTTGTTTTGTCTCTTAGATTCGACATATAACTGAAATCATATGATATTTTTCAGGCTCTGTGTGACTTATATCACTTAGCATAGTATCCTCTAGGTCCATCCATGTTGTTGCAGATGGCAAGATTTCATTCTTTTTTATGGCTGAGTAATATTCCATTGTATACATGTACCACTTGTTCATTATCCCTTCATCTACTGATGGGTACTTAGGTAATTTCCATATGTTGACTATTGTAAATAATGCTGCAATGAACATAGGGATTGCATATGACTTTTCAAAATAGTGCTTTGGATTCCTTCTGATAAATACCCAGGAGTGGGATAGCTGGGTCCTTCTTTGTATCTTGTTATAGCCCTTGTTTTAAAGTCCATTTTCTCGGATATAAGTATTGCTACTCTAGCTCTTTATGGGTTTTTTTGTTTGTTTCTCTTTTCATGAAATATCTTTTTCCATCCCTTTACCTGCAGTCTATTTGTTTTTTGATCTGAAGTAAGACTCTTGTAAACAGCATATGTAAGGGTCTTGTTTTCTTGTACATTTAGCCACACTATCTTTGGATTGGAGCATTTAATTCATTCACATTTAAAGTAATTGTTGATAGATATGTAGTTATTGCCATTTTATTTTCATATTTTTTATCTTTTTTTCTTTTTCTTAAAGAAGTCCTTTTAACACTTCTTATAATACTGGTTTGGTAGTGATGAACTCCTTTAGCTTTTTATTGTCTAGGAAGCTCTTTGTCCTTCACTTTAAAATGATAGCTTTTCTGGGAAGAGTAATCTTGGTTGTAGATCCTTGCTTTTCATCACTTTGAATATTTCTTTCCAATCTCTTCTGATCTGCAAAGTTTCTGTTGAGAAATCAGCTGACAATCTTATTAGAGCTCCCTTGTGAGTAATGAACTGCTTTTCTCTTGCTGCTTTCAATATTTTCTCTTTGTCTTTAAGCTTTGGCAATTTAATATGGTGTGTCTTGGTGCGGGTCTCTTTGGGTTCATCTTATTTGGGACTCTCTGCACATCCTGAGCTTGTATGTCTATTTCCTTCACGATATTAGAGAAGTTTTCCATCATTATTTCTTAAAATAGGTTTTCAATTCCTCGTCCTCTCTCTTCTCCTTTGGGTATGCTTGATGTTGTCCCAGAGGTCCCTTAAACTATCCTCATTGTTTGGATTCTTTTTTCTTTTCTGATTGAATGTTTTCTACTATTTTATTTTCCAAATCACTGATTTGATCCTGTTTCATCTAATTTACTGTTGATTCCCTCTAATGTATTCTTTTTTCAGTTATTGTATTCTTCATTTCTCACTTGTTCTTTTTTATGTTTCCTATCTCTTTGTTGAAGTTCTTCTTGAGATAATTGAACATTATAACAAGTGTTTTGAACTCTGCATATGGAAGATTTTTTGTCTCCATTTTGTCTAGTTCTCTTTTTAGGGCTTTGTTCCATTCTTTCATTTGGGATGTGTGTCTTTGTCTCCTCATTTTGGCTGCCTCCTTGTTTGTTTCTATGTGTTAGGTAGAGCTTCTACATCTCCTGGTCTTGGTTGAGTGGCCTTATGCCTCATGTAGTAGGTGTTCTGTGGGGCCCAGTGGCACAGTCTCCCTGGTCACCTGAGCTAGGTGCTCTAGGTGTGTCCCTTGTGTGGGTTTTGTTTGCTCTCCTATTGTACTCAAGCTTTGTCTCCTGTTGACACATCAGTAGGAGGGATTGACCCTTATACTGATTGGTTGTGAAGACTGGCTGTGACTCCAATGGAGGAGCTATTGTGAAGGGGCTGACTCTATGGAGCAGGATTTGCTTTAGAGGGGCTCTGGTGCTTGCCAAATTTGCCATTTTGATATGTCATTTGCAGAGGTGGTTGAGTTGTGCTCTGGTGTGGTCTGAAGTTGGCCCCTGGGTGTGTTTGGCCTGGGGACTCTTGGGAGGGGCTCTGTTGCAGTACAAGTTTAGTTGCTGCCTCTTCCCTGCCCAGAGCCACTTGGTATGAGCTACAAATTAATCTTCAGATGGTTGCCACTTGTGCTGGGCTTGTGCCTGAGAGAGGCTAAATTGCGAAATGAGGCCAGTTGCCATTAGTGTTGGACTTGGTGCTGCTTAGCAAGAGGTATGGGGCATGCCAAGGCCAAATACTGCTTGTTTGGGGTTTGTGAACCTTTGGGAAATTTTAGGAAAGTCTGCAGCATGAGCCAAGACAGTGGAAAAGCCACTGGAAGCAGCTTGGGCCTACACTTTGGGCATGGTGGGATCTCAGGGAATCACCAGGCATGGTGAGTGATATTAGCCAGGTTGATAGAGACTCAGAAATGGTAACCTGCCTGCACGTGCAGGCTGGGTGGCAGGAGGACTCAACAAAGGAACAATGGCTTCTGCCAGCACTTCTGTCTGGGATAAAGCTGCCCCTCTAGCCCTCACCCTGAAACAAGACAATTCATTTCCTCCCGATATGTCCCTGGCACCTTTCCAGCTGCTGCCCCAGTGCTGGACCTCAGAGCAAGTGAGCCCATCAGTGAGTAATTCAGTGTGCAGGCCTTTTAAGAGGATTGCCTGGGACTCAAGCAGACTCATACAGAGAACAACTGATGGTTATTAGATGAGAAGGGGTTTGGGGTGCTGGATGAAAAAGGTAAAAGGATTAAAAAATTATCATCTAATATTATCATCTAATTATCATATCTAATATTTGCTATAGTAAATGGTCTCAAAGCACTTAGCACTGTCGCTAAAGGAGACCAATCCCCAAAGACACTACCCTTGTACCTTCAAAGCAAGTCCTTGCCCCTCTTAATGCAGAGTTCACTTAGAAGAGAATAATAATACTATAGTCAGAGTAATTAGAAAACCTTTCATGATTGTGAAACTGAACAGGGATTAGGCCAGCAACAATCAGAAACAGCTTTTTTGGGTTTGGACTTAAGGCATGACCTTCTTCTCCCTCATCAACACACAAATGTATTAACTGCAGGGACAGGGGATTGGAGTTGCCTCTATCTTGCATTTCTATGTAGCCATGAATTAATTTCCAAACACCAATGTGAGTATGTTTTCCTTTTCATGCATTATATTTGGGGAGACAGCTGTAAGTATTACTTCCTGGCCACATGCACTCACTCAGCACAATATCTTGTTCACAGAGTGGAGTAAATCAGTAAAGAAATTGTTCATTCATCCCTTATCTTGGCATGCGGACAATAAGTTGTCTCAATATAGGTGCAGATTACTACCTTAATGAAAACAAACAAAAAAATGGACAAAAAATAATAAAGTGTGTCTTTAAAAACTGCACTTTTGTATCAGCCAGTAATTATAGAATTGTAAAGCAGAAAAGAATGTTAGAGATCTTGAAAAAAGTGCAAGAGTGAAGATGAGATGCCTTGGTATAAAATAAAAACACTGAACTTGGAATCAGAAGATCTGGGCCGGTCAAATATTTTATGAACAAGGAAAGTTTCACTGTAACTTATATGGATTCTGTAGGTCATATTCCTGAATGTCAAAATGGATTAAAGACTTAAATGTAAGACCTGAAACCATAAAACTACTGAACTCAAAATATATATAATAAAAGGAATCCATTGGAGTTGAGAGAGGAAGTGGAGGAAAATGTGTTGAAAAGCACCTCTAGCTATGTGTGAGCCATCTTAGAGATCCCTGTCCTGTGCTCTCAAAACTTGATCCCAACTGGATACTCATTATAAGGTTGCTGTTGTTCTTTATTTTGTTCTTTAGATTCCACATATAAGTGAGATCATATGATATCTGTCTTTCTTAGTCTGACTTATTTATGTAGTATAATACCTTCTATATCCATCCATGTTATCATAAATGGCAAGATTTCATTCTTTTTATCGTAGAGTAACATTCCATTGTATATATGTACCACCTCTTTTTTATCCAGTAATCTATTGATGGGCATTTCAGTTGTTTCCGTGTCTTGGCTATTGTAAATAGTGCTGCAGTGAACTTAGGGGTGCATATATCTTTTCTAATTAGTGTTTCGGATTTGTTGAATAAATACCCAGAAGTGGAATTGCTGGGTCATAAGGTAATTCTATTTTTAATTTTTTGAGGCAACCTCATACTGTTTACCACAGTGGCTGCACCAATTTTCAATCCCACCAACAGTGCATAAGCGCTCCCTTTTCTCCACATCTTTGCCAACACTTTCTGTTTATTTACTGATGATAGCCATTCTGCCCGGTGTGAGGTGATTTCTCATTGTGGTTTTTATTTGCATTTCTTTGATGATTAGTGACATTGAGCATTTTTTCATATGTCCATTGGCCATATGTATGTCCTCTTTGGAGAAATGTCTATTTAAGTCCTATGCCCATTTCTTAATTAGATTTTTTGTTTTTTGGGTGTTGAGTTGTATGATTTTTTTAAATAAATTTTGAATACTAACCCCTTATCAGATGTATCATTGGTGAATGTCTTCTCCCATTCGGTAGGATGTCTTTTCCTTTTGTTGATGGTTTCCTTTACTGTGCAAAAACTTTTTTAGTTTGATGTAATTTCATTTGTTTATTTTTTCTTTTGTTTCCCTTGCAAAAAGAGATATATCACTACAAATATAACTAAGGGTAATATCTGAAAGTTTACTGGAGATATTTTCTTCTAGTAGTTTTATGGTTTCAGGTCTTACATTTAACTCTTTAATCCCTTGTGAGTCTGTTCTTGTATATGGAATAAGAAGGTGGTCCAGTTTC